CTTCCCGCTCGCTTGCGGCCAAGCGTTGTCGTTCCTTGGGAGAGCGAGCAGGGGAGGAGGCTTGAGCACCGATAGACAGCGAAAGCTTGGTCCAGCAAATGCCAAAGTGGACGTGGCCTTGCTCTTAGCTCATAGCCATCCCGGAGGCGTGAGCCCGCTGTTCATTGGTGCTGATTGCTTAGCAGTGTGGGCATATCTAAGGCTCCATAGTCGTCGGCTGAAGAAGAGGCGTGTGCCCCTGAAAGCTCATGGACCCCCCTGTGTGTTTTTGGTCAGTCTCCAGGGCACGGCTGTGACATTTGAGAGTTAGACTAACTCGGCTGCCCCTTTGGGACAGTCTGAGGCGGGGAAGGGAATCAGTGTTGGCAGGGAGGCAGTACCTTGGGGCCCTCTTGTCGAGTGGATCACTGCTGTTGCGCCGCCCACATTTCAAAGCCTTCCGCTTTCTCTGGGCAGGGGGCTGGACGCTGGACTCCATGACCTCTCGGTCCCAGGATTCGATGAAGGGTTGAGCGTTAAAGCACATAACGTGGCAGCTGTCGCTGTTGTCATGTGGGCTGTACAAATGGCCACTTCCCAGGGTGAGTGCCCCAGGGACTCGGGGGCTGAGCCCGGTTTGATCTGCATCACAGCAGTTGTTTGCATCTACCTCAGGCAGTCATGTCACCTAGACGGACTTTAAATGGCTGGGATTTGCTCTGGAACTGTGGGCTCAGCTGACTGAGTTTGGGTCCCGAACCCCTGCCCTGCACCCTCCCTTTACCGAGTGTCAGAGCAATCCGACTAAGGGTGCTGGCTGAGAACAGAGCCTTAACTGCATGGCCTTAACTGCGTCATGCTCCTGCACAACTGGGCTTCCAGGCGGTGCCCTAAGCTGCAGTGTTTGTGCCCTTGCTTCGCGGGGAAGAGCGCCGTTGTGCCAGGAAGGGAAGAGGGCACCGACGAAGTTACTAGCTGCTGGTATTTTTAAGGCGGTCCTTGAGCGGGCGAATGAGGTGATTGGGCTGTACAGGTCCATGCTAGGCGCTAACCCACTGCCCCTTTTTGTAGTGTAGCCGTACAGGCAGTGCGCAGGGTGAGCATGGTGCGGTGAGACGTGCTTGCCTTCCAGGCCAGTTGTGCCCCAGGGCCCGGACCCCACCTGGTCGCTGCTGCCTACTGCTGAGAGCTGATGGAAGCCTGCCGGGCTTGTCGCTCCATGTGTGGGTAAGATAGGGCTTTGACCGGGGGTGGGTATGACGCCCAGAAATGCTGTCCGGCCTCCCGCCGTCCTGGCTTCATGAAGTGCCTCTTAAGAGAAGTGAAGAGCCTCCTACGCACGAAGGCGTGTTCCTGAGGTTCGGAGCCTTGGCGAGACTGAAGCCACCTGACTGATGAGCAGTGGGACTCTCCTGAGACGGCTGTTGACTGACGGAACGATGGGGAAGGGTAGAAGGCCATTGCTCGCCCTGCATCAGCATCTCCCAAAGGGCGCAGAGGAGAAGGAAGCGCCAGCCTCCCTCTTAGTCGAAATCGTAGACATCAAGTCCAGGCCCCTGCTCCCACGGCAGGACCCAGCACCATCTAGCCCACCCCGGTAGATGTGTCTAACCTGCTCTTCAGTATCTCCAGGGATGGACATTCCACAACCCCCCAGGCAATTGATTCCAGGCTTTAACCCCCCGACAGGCGGGAAGCTTTTCCTAATGTCCATCCTAAACCTCCCTTGCCCCAGTTTAAGCCCATTGCTCCTTGTCCTGTCCTCAGAGGCCAAGGAGAACAATTTTTTTTCCCTCCCCCTTGTAACATGCTTAGGTACTTGAAAACTGCTCTCACGTCCCCTCTCAAGCCCAGTTCTTTCAGCCTTCCCTCAGCTCTGAACCGGAGCTCTTCACTGCTGCACAGCAGGTGTACTCAGCACAGGCTGTTCGGAGTCTTGTCAAAGGGCTCACCAAGAACTTGAGAGCTGGCTGAAGCACTCCCTGGACTTTCAGTGCTGCTGGTCAGTGAGGCGTGGAGCACTGGAGGCGTTCCAGAAAACTGAGGCAGCAGTATTTACAGAGACTGCATGGGCTAACCTGAGTAGTTGTAGGCTGGAACCCTTCAAGAACATGGAGCTGCTGGTATGGGTTGCATTGTAAAGAATGGAAGGGTGGCAGCAAGTAACAAATGCAGATCGACATTGGCTTCTGGTAATTAAATCCTGCCAAGCTAACTGTCTTTGTCTGTAGGATTACAGGCTCTGCTGGGAAGGACGGTAGTGTGGTTTTAACAGACTGCGTTGGGACCACTGAGCAGTTAGATCTAACCAGTACCTGGCACACGATCAATGGATGAAAACGATATAAGCGAAAGGTCTCAACTTGTAGTAGTAAAGGCAATTCTCCATTAGGGGGTGCGGCGTAGGGATGTGAGTGTCTAGTCACTTCCCCCACCCTTGCTGGGGGGGAGGAGAGGGTGCTTCAAAGCAGCAGCACCACGTGAACCCTGTGGCCAGCTTTGAAATGCTGGGTGCAGCCCTAGGCCAGCTAGGAGTCCCCAGATGACTGGGCTTCCCAACGCCACAGGGAGCATGGGGCTTGCGGGAGACTGCTTGAGTTCCCTGCTGGCCCTGTCTCCCTGCAGAGCTTTTGCTGCAGTGTAGCAACAGCCCTGGCGGAGGCGCCTGCTGGACTAGTGGACTAGTTGCTGGAAAGGGCACTGACTATTTGATTAGCCACTTCCTCGACATTTTACATCCCTAGTGCGGCAGGTGTCGGTGACTGGCAATGTTCCCCAGTGACTGGGAAGGAAGTGCCTGTTAATGTGGGCCGATGCCCCGCAGATTGGGGAGTGGTCCCTGAGAGAGTGTGGCCTGTCCTTTGTGAAGTGAGGCCGCAGGTGCTTGACTAAATCGTACGCCTGGGAAGACCGGCTGTGGTCCATACCGACCCACTGGGGGCTCTGCTGGGTGACCGGAACCGGAACATGGCCCTCAATCAGCTGACCAGGAACGTGCCCCCCCCCCCCCCCCCCGGTGAGAGGCTGTGGCTCAGGGCTAAGGGTGCATAGATGGGCAGATCTCGATTAAGAGCAGAGAGGTCAGCCCCCCCTTCCGGTTATCCTGGGGAAAAGGGCCTGGGGATGCCCTGGCCACTCAGAAATGTTACTCCCGGCTGTGGAGGGGGACAGAGGCAGAGTGTGCACCCCCCGTTCTTTGCGAGGAGCAGCCAGGGCCGAATTATATCAAGCCTGAGAAATTTCCTCTGGCTGCTGGAAGCTCTGCACCGTGTGGGTATGCGGGGGAGGCTCCAGATGTGTATGGGGGGGGTGGGGCTTAGAGGGTTTGGAAGGGGGGTCCGAATGCACGGGGTTTGGATGGACAGGGGAACAGCTCCCTCTATAGTGATGCCCCCACACACCAAGTCCCGTGTGCTGACACAACATTTGTATCTGCATCTGTATCCACAAAAATGAGCCCCGGCTATCCACATGTGTGGATGCGTCTAGAAAGCCATGGGTTTGCAGGGCTGCCAGGGTGCCTGCACTACCGTTGTGCCACGCTGAACCCCGACACACTACAGGGGATTCTGTACCAACCGTTTTTGAAACGTCACGTTCTGTGAAGCTCTGCATATTTTAATTGTCAAAATCACAGAGAAACAAAATACTTGTCAGCAGATAATTGACAATGGCTTGATTATACTGTGGGGTTTGACCAGTAAAATATGCAGACTTTTGCAGCATTTTAAAATATGTGCAGAATTCCTTCCAGAGTAGCTGTTTTGGCTCTGTGTTTGGCCCTGGTGACCACTGCGGGACTCGTGTCCAGTTCTGGTGTCTAGAGCTCAGGAGAAATGTGGTTCAGGGTAGTGCCACAAAAGCAACGAAAGGGTTAGAAACCCTGCCTTGAGACAGCTCAGCAAAAGGGAACTTGAAGGGGCAGCTTGCTTCGTGGCCTAGTAGTACCTACATGGGCTCTTCAGTTGAGCAGCGAAAGCTCCCCGGCAAGCCAGGGCTGGAAACGACACGCGCGCACACACGCAGTAACTAAGCCCAGGAACAACTTCCCAAGAGTCCTGGTCAGTTCCCCATCATGGGCAATGTTTGATTCAAGCCTGGGAGTTATGGGGGCGGGCCTGGCCTGGGCTGTGCAGGAGGACATGCGAGATGGCACCGAACCCGTGAGCGGGAGCGGGTGTTTATTTTCCTGCCCTAGGCCAGTGCCTTTACAAGCTCCAGAGGCAGGTCTCTGCCCTGGCCAGGCAGCAGCCTAGCACGTGCAGGGCTGTGAAGCTAAGTGGGAGGAGAGGGAGGGGGACTCCTGGAGGGTGCTGCATGCAATCGGGCATGGAGAGTGTGAGGAGCGGGTTCGGGTACAGCTGTCTGTGGAACTCTGGCTTAACTTAAGCTATGGTACTGTGAGCAGCCTCTTGAGTGGGCGGGGGTGTGAAACCAGCGAGCAATGGTGTGTAGAGTTCAGGGGCGGGGAGCGCTCCGAGGGACATGCAGGTGAGATTCCAGAGGTGCCCGTGCAGCTCGCACTGATCCTCGAGACTTGGGGGGCCAGTCGCTCTTGGGCACTCGCACCCACTGGTCCAAGAAAGGGTTAATAAGCAGGCCCTAGCCTCTATTCTGCAGTAGAAGAACCACAGTTGACCTGGATCTGCTGACTCTGGCTGGGGCTGTGGGTATAAAATCGCAGAGAAGCCTTTGGGCTCAGGGACTGGAAGGGGAGAGCCCCCGAGCCTGGGTTGCAGCCCATGCCTGAATGTCTCCCCTGAAACTTGATAGCCCAGCGGGCCTGAGTCAGCCAACCTGGCTGGCTGCAGCTGTGCCCCGTGTGCCGTGCAGACTTCACCTTCCTGATAAGAGAATCAAGTGAAGGGAGGTTTCTTCTCTGGACTGCTCTGATTTTCTTAACGCTGCTTCCGGAAACCAGCGTGGGAGCCGGCTCTCAGGACGGGCTAAAAGGGGGATTTCACGCCAGCCTTTTGCTCTTGTCCCAACTGCCACCCTCAAGCTGGTTTCTCTCTTCCCAGCATATTCAGAAAAGAAGCGCCTTAGGAAGCCGAGCAAGCGGCTTCTGGAATATGCAGAAGAATACGACAAGATATTTGCACCGAAGAAAAAATCCAAGAAGGGCCAGGAGCAATTGCAAAGGGTAGGTGAGAGCGAACCCCTGTGCTCAGGCTCCAGCAATAGCTGTGTTCTCGCGGGGCGTCGCACGGTGCAGGTTAACCCCCTTCCATCTGACTCTTGTGCGCTAGGTGAGCTCCCGGGAGAGGGCTGAGTTGGAGGGTGAGGAAAGTCTTCCGGCACGATGCAGTCATGGCAGCGATAACCGGAGTCTGCAGAACCCTCTGGAGTCAACGCCATCTTCCTCTTCAGCCAAAGATGCTCCTCCAGTCCTTGAAGCAGAGCCGCTGTCCCATTCCTCCGAGCCCCCGGACCTGCTCCTAGACGGACACTGCGATTTGCCAGAGCTGACGCTGTCTTCCCCTGACGTGTCTGAAGTTTCTGCTTGTTCTCTGGAGGCAGAGGACCGCTTCCTGAAATCAGGTGAGCGCTCCGCAGCACATCTCCCTGCTGAAGTGAGGGAGACTGCTCCCGTCTAGCAGCCGGGTGCTGGACAGCGAAGGAACCACTCTCTGGGTCTGTCTGGCTACACTCTGTGGTGGGGCTGTAAAATGGAAGAGTGAGCAAGCATCCGTAGCCGCTCACTTCATACGTCCACACCTGCATGGATGCCTTGTCGGAAAGGGTTTGTGTCTCCAAAACTCTCTGGCTCTCGGGATCGGTGTGGTTGCTGCATCTCTAGGAGGCAGGTGCTTCAGTTAGGGCTGATCTTTCCCTGCGATTGCAGGGCCTGGAGCACTAGAGGTTCGGTGGCGGAAGACACAGGGCCAGCCACTGGACCCTTGGTCACCTACACCCAGTGTAGAATTACCTGGAACGTAATGTCTGGGCCAGGCGGGTGGGAACGTGCTCGCACACCTGGCTGGGGGGCCAGAGGGGGGTGGAAATAGGGGGCAGCATGTTCATTGGGCTCCTGCCTGGCGTAGCTACTGGTTGCCTGGCTCGCTCGGTCACATTGCTAGGCTGTGCTGGCTGCCCTAGCAGGCAGCTCTGGTTTTTCTGTGAGATTGACGTTGCTATGCAAGCATTGGTATTGTGGCCAGCCCTGAAGATCACAGCCAGGCTGAGGTCTGTGGCACTGAGCATGCCACAAATGTAAAATCAGACCAGTTGCTGCCTTGGAGACCCAAGGGTTAGCAGCTGGCTGAGGTTTTAACTGTCAGCTGGTATCTGATAATGCACCTGTTCGTCCAAATCCAGTGGAAGAAATTTATTTTTCCTAACAAGAACTTTGTTGCAGGGAACTTGGAGAGGAAGCGTCAGAGGAAGCCAACTAAGAAGCTCTTGGAATCCAATGACCTGGATGCTTTATTTATGCCAAAGAAGGAGGGGTGGACTCCTCCAAAGAAGGTAAGTTCCTTCCAGCTGTTCCCTGACCACTAGCAGGACACCAGGTTCCCCCTCTAGCTGGTTGCAGATGAGCTGTAGTGATTTCATGTGTGTTTCAGGCTCCCGAGGGAGCGGGATTTCCTCCGCGCTCGTGAAAGCTCGTACGGTTTGGGAAAAGCTCAGCACACACCCATTCAGAACACTTTGTACAAATCTCCTTATAAATTCATCCCCACGGGCATTGCTTCCTGCCGGTGCTGCCAAGCCCTGCGTAGCTGCCCCCTTCTCGCTGCGCGTTACGGTGACTGAACCATTGGAAAGGAGGGAAACCGCTTCGCTTGTGATGGGCCCGGGTGTCTGCTGGGAAACATCTCTCCCCTCCCCTTGGCACTGGCAAAGGAGATGCGCCAGGGCCCCGGGTGCAAGTGCTTGGCGGTGGATTTTTCTGGTCGCAGAGCGGGGAGTCTCCATCGCGTCTGTTCTCTTGCTGTTTGATCTGGATCCTGAGATCCTAGCCCTGAATTTTCATAGGCCTAGTTTTCTCAGGAGGGGGATGCCCTTTCTCTCCCCGCTCTCCTCTGCGAGTGAGCGTCCGGGCGTCTTAGCTGGGTCCCCCCTATCCTGCTCTGAGAGCTGGGCTTCCGACGTAGGGGTGCAGATGAGTGCCCGTACACACGGCTAGCGGACACGCCTGGGCTTAGGGTTTAACGCTCGCGGGTACGCGTGGTCCCCAGGCCACCGGGGGGCCACCGGGCTCTGCAGGAAGCATCGTCCGCCCACAGCAAATGGCGGGACAGTGTACAGGTGCCTGCCTGGCCCGCTTGCCGCCGCAGCCATGAGCCCTGCCTGTGGAGGGCTTGCCGCTGGTAACGGGTCCGTCCTGTGTGTTCCCAGTGCTTCGAGGCTGGCCCCCAGGAGAGTGACCTGGCTGAGTTCTATCCCACCCCCCGGTTTTTGGACCTCGGCGAAGGTAGGAACTGGGAGGCGTCTGGGCAGTGCGCCTGCATTCCTGGGCTGGTCGGTGCCAGGCCCCTTGGCAGACCCAGGAGTGGGGGTGTCTGGCTGGGGAGGAGAGCAGCCGGGAGCGCTGCCCAGCTGGGCATGCCCTCTGGTCTGGGCGCTGCGCCCGCGGGCTCAGCTGGAGGCGCCTCGGGAGGCTTTTGGGAGCTGTCTCGGCGAAAGGCGGGGAGGACTCATAAACGCCCCACGGGAC